ATTCATGGGCACATTTTATACCCTACTTTAGGCAGATGTGAACGTGCACATGTTACCCCTGGCTACACATCAATTTCTAGACAGGAATAAACTACCTATTGCTGCTTTTTCTAGGAGGCATATGATGCTGTGGTGAATGGGGTCATAAATTTCTGCAGGAGATGAAAATTCCACAGTAGGCAGTCATTACCATGTCATTGCACTGCCTTTTCCTGTAACAAATAGTCAATTTTGTTTAGGGGCTGGTAGGAAAGGTAGTTGTTGGCTCAAGAATCTGGCTCATTAAGCCAGAGTAAAGCAACCAAATTAAAAAAAAGCGTCTTAAGCCATGTAGAACAGAAACAATTTCAAAGTCCAGCCAAGGTAGATTGGTAAGGTAGTAGGGTAGTAGGATTTTTCTCATTATAATGGAGCTATTTACATTTTATGCAGGCATTTCATGGCTTAAGCAATCAACAACTACTATGTGGCAAATTGTCTTTGATTTCTAGAGTTAGCAAACTCTGTCCTAGATACATGGCAAAGAATGTAGCATGGTGAAAGAGGTTTATAATAAATGTAATGTCTAATACATGAGGTTTTAGTTGAGAAACAAATGAAAACTATAAGTGACAAATAATATAAATTGTAAACTGCCCTACCAATGTTATTTTAATCATCATCTTTGTCTCATGGCTCCAGTCCAAATGTTATTATTTAGCCAGCAGGAGTTATATGTATCAGTCTGATATAATTATTAGGTCCCAGAGAGCCGTAGGTTATTAGTCTTAGCCAGATGGCCAAAAGGTTGTGTGCAGCTCTGTTCAGTGGGAGAAATAGTGAGTCATCATGTAATCCTACCCACTTACGTGGGTAGAAAGTTGTTTAACTTGAATCTAGCATCAGCAATTAAAGATATTTCTCTGGAACACTTTTAAAAGAGCCTAATAATTCTTTAAGTTGATAAAATGGCAAGAAGAGTTGGATAATGGGAATGTTACTTTGGTTCCTGGTACCACATTGCTCATTGATGACAATAGTTTAATATTTATTATTATTGATGGTGCCAAGTTACTACAGATTTTGAATTTCCTTGTAAGAACTTACCACAAGGAAAACAACTCCATTTACAATTGCATCAAAAAGAACGAAATACCTAGGGAGATGGCCTACATCTGGGCAAAAGAGAAGACCTCATGGAAAAGGGTAAAGTAGCAAAGCCACGATCTGGCAGGACACAAGCCCTCCCTCCACCCCAGCTCACAGGAGTGAGGAAGAGAAATGGAGTGGGAAGGGAGTAGGAGCCCAGGATTGCTAAATACCCACCCCTGGAGATCAACTCCGAGAACACAAACCCACATTACATGGTGCTCTGGAGATTAGTGGGGTTGGAAAGCAAAGACAGGCAGAATATTCAGAATGAGAATTCTCCAGCCACTTGTGGAGAACATGAACCCACAACTGGTTGCTCTGGGACAAAAGAAAGGCAGGCACTTTGAAAGACTTCCCAACAGCAAGGGGGCTGCTAAAGGGCTTAAGGATTACACAGAACTTGCTGCTCAGGAGAAAGGACAGGTGGACAAAATCATCCCAGCATACTCAGCCCAGCAGGTTGTCTGGTTAACATCCATTCATCCATTACCACAGATAGATACAAAAATTTTTTTCCTTGTGATGAGAACTTTTCAGGTCTATTCTTCTAGCAACTTTCAAGTATGCAATATAATATTACTAACTGTAGTCACCATGCTTTACATTCCATTCCATGACTTGCTTATCTTATAACTGAAATTTGTACCTTTACACTACATTCACCTGATTCCTTCCTCCTACCCTATGCCTCTGGAAACCACCAATCTATTGTGTTTCAATCATTTCTTTTTTTTTTAAGATTCTCTATATAAGCATTATCATATGGTATTTGTCTTTGTCTTTTTTCACTTAGGATAATGCCCTCAAGTTTTATCCATGTTGTCAAAAATGGCAGGATTTTCTTTTTTCTTTTATTCTGAATAATATTCCATTGTGTGTGTGTGTGTATACACACATATACACATATACCACTTTTTCTTTGTTCATTCATCCATTGATGGACACTGAGGTTGCTTCATCTCTTGGCTATTGGAAATAATGCAGCAATGAACATGGGAGTACATAGGTCTTTTTGAAGTAGTGTTTTCACTTACTTTGGATAAATACCCAGAAGTGGAATTGCTGGATCATATGGTAGTTCTATATTTCATTTTTTGGGTAACTTTCATACTGTTTTCCAGAATGGCTGTACCAATTTACATTCCCACAAATATTGCAGAAGGGTTCCCTTTTCTCTACATCCTTGCCAACATTTTTACTTTGGCCCTAGTTCCCACAAACATTAAGGTCTGCTGAGCTTCCATTTCCTTCCAACCTAGACCTTTCTGTCCTAAGCAACTTGACCCTGATGAACTGTTTTTTATGTTCACTTTGTTGTTTCAGAAATCTGATTCTTCACTTTAACTTGTCCCAGTTGATTTAAAACAATGCTAGGTTCCCTTCTCCTTACCCAAACTAGGTCAAATGGACAGAGGGAAGGGTAAAGTGAGTGGAATGAATTCTTGGGGCAAAGCAAGGAGACTGATACAGTATTTTGTGTAAATGTTGCCAAGATTAAAACAAGCAATGAAGAGTGGGCATTATAATTCAGGAAAACTACCTGGTCTTCAGAGGAAACTGAACAGTAAAATTAATTATAACCCATAACTAACATATCTGGCCTTCTGATTTGTCTTAAGGAGAAAAATAGTATAACTGACCCACTCTTCTTTTTTATTGAAGTATCATTGATATACAATCTTATACTGGTTTCAAATATACAGCACAGTGATTCAGCAGTTATCCTTATTAAATCTTCACCCCTCTAGTACAGTTACTGTCAACATAAAAGGATTTTACAGAATCATTGATTATATTCTCCATGCTGTACTACTAACCCCATGACCAACTTATATTATGATTGAGAACTTTTGTGCCTCTTTTATGCCCCACGGCCTCCCCACCCTCCCACCTCAGCCCCTCCCCCATGGTCACCACTAATCATTTCTGTGTCTCTGAGTCTACTGCTGTGTTGTTCATTCTGTTTTGTTTTGTTTTTATATTCCACAAATAAGTGAAATTATGGTACTTGTCTTTCTCTACCTGGTTTATTTCACTGAGTATAATACTCTCTAGATCCATCCATGTTGTTGCAGATGGCAGGATTTCTTTTTTTTTTATGGCTGAATAACATTCCATTGTGTATATGTACCACATCTTTATTCATCTATTGATGGACACATAGATTGTTTCCATATCTTGGCTATTGTAAATAATGCAACAATAAACATAAGGGTGCATATATCTTTTCAAATCAGTGATTTTGTTTTCTTTAGGTAAAATTCCTAGAAGTGAAAATACTGGGTTGAATGGTATTTCTATTTTTAGTTTTTTGAGGAGCCTCCATACTTCTTTTCTCAGCAGTTGTACCAATGTATATTCCCACCGACAGTGTAAGAGGGTGCCCATTTCTCCACATCCTCACCAACACTTGCTATTTCTTGTCTTTGGATAGTGACCGTTCTTACTGGTGTGAGGTGATATCTCATTGTGACTTTAATTTGCATTTCCCTGATGATTAGTGATGTGGAGCATCTTTTCATGTGCCTGGTGACCATCTGTATTTCTTCTTTGGAGAAATGTCTGTTCAGATCATCCACCCATTTTTTAATCAGATTACTTGTTTTTGAGGTGTTGAGGCATGTGAGTTATTTATGTATTTTGGATGTTAACCCCTTATCAGTTGTTTGTAAATATTTCTCCCATACTGTAGGTTGCCTTTGTGTTCTGTTGATGGTGTCCTTTGGTGTACAGATGCTTTTTAGTTTGATGTAGTTCCACTTGTTCATTTTTTATTTTGTTTCCCTTGCCTGAGGAGATGTGTCCAGGAAAAAATTGCTCATACATATGTTCAAGATATTTTTGCCTATGTTTTTTCTAAGAGTTTATGGTTTCATGTCTTGCGTTCAGGTCTTTATTTTGAGTTTACTTTTGTACATGGAGTTAGGCAGTAATGACTCACTCTTAAGACAGTTTCAGCTGTTGTTTTAAGATACAGTGCATGCTTAGAAAAATTAAGCAGAAACCTTGAACACATTGTTAAGATTTTCACTAAACCAGACCCACCTATCTCTGATAAGCTGTTTTCAAAGGCTAATTACTTGGCAGGTGATACAGATATTTGGGGAAATTTTGGAATTGCATATATCAGAGCATTGTGTCCAGAACGTGCTATTATTGGAAGCATTGAATTGGTATGTTATTGTGCAAACGAATATAAAATTTGAAGCCTGGCTGGACAGTATCCTGAGGGAAGTCTGGCTTTAGAATAGTCACTTAATTCTCTGTTGCCTTGGGCTTCTCATCCATTGCAAGGAGGAATAATACAGTACAGTAGATCTTAACCTCATTAGACTGCTGTGATGATTAAATGAGATTATATGTGTAAATAAAATCCTAGAAGAGAGCCCGGTACATACCAAGCATTCAGTAAATATTACTTATAAATATTTAACCATGTGTATTTGCTCCCCTCCATGGATTAATTACATTTCTAAAATTAGCTGGCTGTCTTGCAAAATGTGCTTAGCTGAGTGTTAAGTGGATCAGTTTAAACTTATCACCACTACAAATTACTAAAATGAAACAGCTCAAGGATCCTGTGATAATGGTGGTGGATCACCCTTGTTCCAAAAGACAAGTATTAGATTAGGGTAGATAGTCCATTTTAAAGCCCTGCCTTAAATCTACCATGCCTGTTTGAAATGACTCTCCTAAAGGGCATAAAAGGAGTTTATTTTTCATGACTGTTCTTGAAATATGTTACAGATGCTATGAAAAATGAGAACAAAGAAGTGGGAGGCAAGAATTCTTAGATTAATGTGAGATTTAAGCTATTACTTGCCAAAAAGTTTTGGTCTTGTCTTATATTTCAAAATTGTGTCTGACAGGTCCCCAGAGTGACATCCTTAAGTCAGGTGAGTGGCTGAAGAGAAGAGAAAACGGTCCGTCTGGTACTCCAGGGCCTCCACTCTTGCACTGTCCACCATTCACCCCCACAGACCAAGGAACCATGAGACCAAGAAACCACTGTATCCTTTTATAATTCCAAATTAGTGATATCAACAGTGAAGATGGGAATTTGAGGGCCTGAAAATAATTTGAAATCATTAAATCAAATTATATTTGATCTATTTAGATTTGCTAAGATTTCTTTCTTCCATTCTGGCCAACTTCACTATGATTAGAAGATGGAATCCCTCCTATTGACGCCCAAGAGTGAATCCTGGAAGTTTTTCTTCCTTGAGATGTAGACCCAGGAGAACAAGACCTAAGATAAGCAATTCCATTTCTCACCTTCTTCTCAGCCCACTTTCAAATTCCAATTCCATGCTTAAAGAATTACTCTCTCCTTGACACTGCACATTTCAAAGGACAGGGAGCTCCCCAGAAGGGAATGGCCTTCCCTGTTAGGTCTTAGGATAACCATCCCTCCAAGAAGTTATCTAGTAGTCATTTTGACCCAAAGCTTCCTAAGATAAAACCAGCTACCCTATAATTCTTAGATGGTGGCTGGTGTGCCATCTTGAGGCACACATAGTGACTGCTACCATGAGATGGGCCACACCTCTCAAAAATGGAACCCTGTCTTGCCAGTGGGTTTCAGCCCTGGGCAAGTTCACAATTGATTCAATGTGAACAAAGAAATGACAGAACATTCTTGGGGTGAAAGGGTTTATACCCAACTTTATTTCCAGGTGGCAGGTCAATCACTAAAATCCTGTTCACTCAGAGCAAGTCTGCATGCAGCAAGCCAGTCTCTGCCTCTGGGCCTCTCTGCCTGCACAGCCATCCTCTGGGCCTCTGTCCTCAGTGCTGCCACCACTCCAGCCTCTGCTGTCCTGCAGCCTTGCAGCTATGCCAC